ATTATTATTATTATTATTATTACTATTATTATTAAGTCCTATTTTGAAAGTGTGGAGAGTCCGAAGTTTTTTCAATGCCTTGGGGGAAAATTGATTAACTGTGTTTTGAACAATTACTCACTAGGTGATTTCATCTGCTTTGACTATATCGCACCTTGAATCAAAATGAGATTGGTGTTGATTACACCAAATTCTGCCAGATGTCAAAGCTAGTTCATTTGCTATTCATCAAAATATTTAATTTGCAAACTCTTGCGAAATGAACGTTGCAATAACATTAGATATTGTACTATTTCATTGATGGTTTTCTGTAACAATAGCTCACGTACTTTATATATAAAAATGAGGATTTTAGCGGAATTAAGGCATTGAAGAGATATAATGACGTTCGAAGGTTGTACATACGTTGATGTTGTCGCGTGTTGGAAGTGGCACGAGCTCGCCACGCACGTTTTGTCGCTTCGAAATATTTGCCTTGGGGAGGGGGAGGGAGGAAAGGAGAAAGAAAGATTTTTGGAAAATCCTAAAGGTTTTTGAAAACCAACCACTGTTTTGGAAGGCCAAGGTGTGAGCAAAGAGTTTTAGCTATTCTGGAGTTGAGTAAAAAACTGAGTCGAGTTKAAATTACAGTATACTATGGGATGTCTTTGAGGACAAACTAGACGCCTTCTTCGWAATATGTTCCCTAAAACAGTCCCGAGATAAACATTCTAGCCTTTTCCTGGACGTAAATCTAATTGCTAACAGAACCAAATGTTTTTCGATTTTTACTGCCTAAACCGTGAGATTTATATCCCCAAACAGCTTCAAGATRTGTTTGCAATAAGAATATAAGTTACACCAATAAAGTAGGTCATGCTTCACATGTACAAAAATTAGTACCAYTTTTGGTCCTTAAAAACTTAGAAAACTGACTTTTCTTCTTTTAAATTTGAACTTCGCTTTTTTACACATCTTTTACAACCTTCACCTTGTATCTGACTGCTTCCTGTAAGTAAATATATATATATGTATGTATATTCTCTGCCTATCGGTTATTTCGTCTTCATTTCCTTTCACTATTGTGTCACTTCATCAAGATGACATCGAGCCATTGAAGAWTGACGAAATAAGTAATCAAAAGATTTCCTGTTATTGATCTTCAAACGAGTTTGTTTTCAGAGGAATTGAAATTCGATGAAGCTTTAGAACTAATGTATTCAAATTTGGAGAAGTGCTTTTTTAAATTAAGGAAACCCTAGTTTGGTTTAGCTTTAAGGTTGTTCACATTTATTTATTTTTCTTCTTTCTTAATCATCTTCATGCCATTTTCGTTTATTTTTCCCTTCTTCCTTTCTTTCTTTCTTTCTTTCTTTCTTTCTTTCTTCCTTTCTTTCTCTCTTTCTTTTTTTCTTTCTTTTCCTGTTTTCCCTTCTTTACTTTTTCATGTCTTTTTTCCTTTCCTTCTTTATTTTTCTTGCTTTTTCTCTTCTGTTTTTCTTTCAGTTTCTTCCCTCATTTCTTYTTTCCCTTAACTCATATTTACATTTGAAACTCAACATTTCCGCCTTGCCCCCTTACATCCCAATATACAAGAAGTCGTTTAAAAATCCTTCGCTTTTTGGGTTACGACATAAAAAATTTCCTCTATCTATAATATTGTCTAACACAAAAAAATCAGCATTTGATTAAGAAAATAAACTCAAGAATTGTTTATTAMGATCCATACTAAAACGAATCAGTAATCTTAGAAATGTTATCAATAAATTAACGGTTTTTCAATTCCAATCCTCATTTATAGCATGTTTGCACAAAACTCATTTACTTCTCTAAAAATAATTTCAAAATTTTCAAGAAAAAAAATCTTGTATAAAAATCAATAAGTCCAAAGAAAAATTAAGTAAGTTCAAGCTGCCTTTTGTTCATCTTTAAATGTACTCCTCGTAAATTAATGCCTTTACCGCGATCATATCACGTTTAAAGGGACAGCCACAAAAACAAGCTATTTCGTGCTCAAGTATAATTGGATGAGATGAGCTTTAGTGTTCTCTGATTGGTTCAGGCTAAGCTCTTTAACTGTCTTGGAACCGTACAGTTTTAAATCTTACGATCATATCCCTGCCTTCGTTTTTGCAATATTTCTTTAGAAAATATTTTTTTCTAACATTAAAAATTACTTTTTATATAACAATGAAAAAATGATTTCTATTTGACTAATAAAATGAAAAATATTTGAAATATTTTTGATTTTTTGATCTCCAAATCTTGTCTTCAAAAATCATAATTTCATTTTATTTAACACAACATTTTTTAGTTAAAACTAAATAATTACAAATGGTTTTTATCATTATTTCAATATACATTATATAATACTAAACAACTACCCTTACTTCAGTCAGCGAAAAATTTCGATTTTT